TGTGATTGCTATCATAGCACCCCTGTAAACTGAGTAATATTGCCAACTAGACACATAACTCCAATGTAAATGGGGTAACATTGTCAACCAAGCACTTACACCTCCAGCACAGTATTGGAAGCACTCCCCACATTCTCTCTGGGTTTGGTGGAGGCTCACAACAATTGCTTATAGCAGATAGCAAACAATTTCCCATGCTCTATCCTCTTAACCTTGCCATCACTGCACCTCTGTTAATAGGGTAATATTGCTAACTAGTCACTTAGAATTCCAGCTCAATACTGGAAGGGCTCTCCATGTTCTCTCTGGGGTTGATGGAGGCTTGCAATGTTTGCTTATGGCAAATGGCAAACATTCCCCACGCTCTGTACTCATGGGATTGCCATCACTGCATCACCATTGCCAACCATGCAACTATGACATTGCATTGTCAAAGGCTTTCACAGCCAGAATCACTGGGATATTGTGTGGTTTCCAGGCTGTATCGCTGTGTTCTACCAGCATTTTCTCCTGACTTTTCACCTTCATCTGTGGATGGATCCTCTGAAAATGTCAGCCACAGATGCAGGCGAAAATGCTGCTAGAATACAGCCATGCAGTCCGGAAATCACATAACACCCCAGCTATGTAATTCCCTCCGGAGTTGATGGAGGCTTACAATGATTGCTTGTGGCAGATGGCAAAGCATTCCCTGTGCTCTACCATCTTGGGATTGCCATCACTCCACCACTGTAAATGGGATATTGCCAACCAAGCACCCAATGTGGAAGAACACCCCACATTCTCTCTGGGGTGATGGAAGCTTGCAATGATTGCTTATGGCAGAAGGCAAATCATTCTCCATATCATTAAATAGCCTGCAGCTCTGCCCCTGTGACATGATTGAGGGTGGTGAAGGCAATCGCCCTTCACTAAGTCTGGCCTCCTTCATGTTGTTGTTGTTCATTCGTTCAGTCGTCTCCGACTCTTCGTGACCTCATGGACCAGCCCTCGCCAGAGCTCCCTGTCGGCCGTCACCACCCCCAGCTCCTTCAAGGTCAGTCCAGTCACTTCAAGGATGCCATCCATCCATCTTGCCCTTGGTCGGCCCCTCTTTTTTGCCTTCCACTTTCCCCAGCATAATTGTCTTCTCTAGGCTTTCCTGTCTCCTCATGATGTGGCCAAAGTACTTCAACTTTGTCTCTAGTATCTTTCCCTCCAATGAGCAGCCAGGCTTTATTTCCTGGAGGATGGACAGGTTGGTAGTCCAAGGCACTCTCAGCACTTTCCTCCAACACCACAGCTCAAAAGCATCGATCTTCCTTCGCTCAGCCTTCCCTAAGGTCCAGCTCTCACATCCGTAGGTTACTACAGGGAATACCATGGCTTTGACAAGGCAGATCTTTGTTGCCAGTCTGATGTCTCTACTCTTCACTATTTTATCGAGACTAGACATTGCTCTCCTCCCAAGAAGTAAGCGTCTTCTGATTTCCTGGCCACAGTCTGCATCTGCAGTAATCTTTGCACCTAGAAATACAAAGTCTGTCACGGCCTCCACGGTTTCTCCCTCTATTTTCCAGTTGTCAATCATTCTTGTTGCCATAATCTTGGTTTTTTTGACGTTTAGCTGCAACCCGGCTTTTGCGCTTTCTTCTTTCACCTTGATTAGAAGGCTCCTCAGCTCCTCCTCGCTTTCGGCCATCAGAGTGGTGTGATCTGCATATCTGAGGTTGTTAATGTTTCTTCCAGCAATTTTCACCCCAGCTTTGCATTCATCCAGCCCCGCACATCGCATGATGTGTTCTGCATACAAGTTAAAAAGGTTGGGTGAGAGTATGCAGCCTTGCCGTACGCCTTTCCCAATCTTGAACCAGTCTGTTGTTCCGTGGTCAGTTCTGACTGTTGCTACTTGGTCCTTGTACAGATTCCTCAGGAGAGAGACAAGGTAGCTTGGGATGCCCATCCCACCAAGAACTTGCCACAATTTATTATGATCCACACAGTCAAAGGCTTTAGAATAGTCAATGAAGCAGAAGTAGATGTTTTTCTGAAACTCCCTGCCTTTCTCCATTATCCAGCGGATATTGGCAATCTGGTCTCTCGTTCCTCTGCCTTTTCTAAACCCAGCTTGAACATCTGGCAACTCTTGCTCCATGTATTGCTGGAGTCTTCCTTGCAGGATCTTGAGCATTACCTTACTGGCATGTGAAATAAGGGCCACTGTACGGAAGTTTGAGCAGTCTTTCGCATTTCCCTTTTTTGGTATGGGGATATAAGTTGATTTTTTCCAGTATGATGGCCATTCTTGTGTTTTCCATATTTGCTGGCAAATGGCATGCATCACCTTGACAGCATCATCTTTTAAGATTTTAAACAGTTCAGCTGGGATCCCGTCGTCTCCTGTTGCCTTGTTGTTAGCAATGCTTCTTAAGGCCCATTCAACTTCACTCCTCAGGATGTCTGGTTCTAATTCATTCACCACACCGTCATAACTATCCTCAATATTATTATCCTTCCTATACAGATCTTCTGTATAGTCTCGCCACCTTCTCTTGATCTCTTCAGCTTCTGTTAGGTCCCTGCCCTCTTTGTTTCTTATCATACCAATTTTTGCCTGAAATTTACCTCCAATGTTTCTAATTTTCTGGAAGAGGTCTCTTGTCCTTCCTATTCTGTTGTCTTCTTCCACTTCCATGCATTGCTTATTTAAAAATAGTTCCTTATCTCTTCTGGTTAACCTCTGGAATTGCGCATTTAACTGGGCATATCTCCCCTTATCCGTTTCCTTTTGCTTTCCTCCTTTCTTGGGCTACTTCCAGTGTCTCAGCAGACAACCATTTTGCCTTCTTGGTTTTCTTTTTCTTTGGGACGTACTTTGTTGCCGCCTCCTGAACAATGTCTCGGACTTCTGTCCATAGTTCTTCTGGGACTCTGTTTACTAAATCTAGTCCTTCAAATCTGTTCTTCACTTCCACTGTATATTCGCTAGGAATGTTAGTGAGATCATATCTAACTGGTCTGTGTATTTTCCCTGATCTCTTTAGTTTTATTCTAAATTTGGCAATAAGAAGTTCGTGATCTGAGCTACAGTCAGCCCCAGGTCTTGTTTTCACCGACTGGATGGATGTCCGCCACCTTTGGCTGCAAAGGATGTAGTCAATCTGATTTCGGTGTTGACCGTCTGGTGAGGTCCATGTGTAAAGCCGTCTTTTAGGTTGTTGGAAGAGAGTATTCGTTATACACAGCGAGTTTTCCTGGCAAAATTCTATCAGCCTGCGTCCCGCTTCATTTTGTTCTCCCAGACCATGCTTGCCTGTGATCCCAGTTGTCATTTGACTTCCCACCTTGGCATTCCAGTCTCCTGTAATGAAAATAATGTCTCTTTTTGGTGTATTATCCAGTAGGTCCTGCATATCCTCATAGAACTGATCTACTTCTGCTTCTTCAGCAGCTGTGGTTGGGGCGTATATTTGGATCACTGTAATGTTGAAAGGCTTTCCTTGCACTCGAATTGAGATCATTCTGTCATTTTTTGGGTTGTATCCAAGCACCGCTTTAGCGAATTTCTTATTAATTATGAAGGCTACTCCCTTTCTTCGATGTTCCTCTTGTCCGCAGTAGTAGATCTGGTGGTCATCTGATGTGAAGTGGCCCATTCCAGTCCATTTCAGTTCGCTGACCCCCAGAATGTCTATCTTTAGTCTTGACAGCTCACCAATAACAACATCCAATTTGCCCTGGCTCATAGATCTTACATTCCAGGTTCCTATGGTGTGTTGATCTTTAGAGCATCGGATTCGTCGTTCACCTCCAGTACCGTCGGCCGCTAGCCTTCCTTTCGGCTTTGAGCTAGCTGCGTCATCACATCTGGGGCTAGTTGAGCTTATCCTCTGCTCCTCCCCAGTAGCATTTTGGCCATCTTCCGACCTGGGAGTCCCATCTTCCAATGGCATACCGACATATCTCTGGTTGTACTGGTCCATTTAGTTTTTTTGGCAAGGATACTGGAGTGGTTTGCCATTGCCTTCCCCAGGGATCACGCTTGGTCTGACCTCTCTGCCACAACCGTCCCGTCTTGGGTGGCCCTTCACGGTTTCGCTCATGACATCATTGAGGTGCTCAAGCTCCAGCGCCCCGACAAGGCGGTGATCCTTTGCTGGAGGGCCTCCTTCATAGGGGCCTTCAAATCCCCCCCCCCCAGCATGTGCGTTTTAGGCTTTGACTGCTTTAAATATTTGTTTACAAATAAACACACATACCAAATATGATAACAAGTATTTCCTATGTCACAACTCATTTAGAACCAGGTCTGAATTTAGGAAAAGTCTTTCTCTCAGCAGTTGTTTGAAGTTACCCTGGGATCACTGTATCCATGGAGTCGATATTCATCATTTCATTTACACATGCTCCAGAAAGTATTCTTCCCCAGAAGTGCCTGTAGGCCTCTTTAGCTTCTCCAATAAGATTTTATAATATGCCTCTAGCTCAGTGGTTCCCAATATGTGGGTCCCCAGATGTTTTGACCTTCAACCCCCAGAAATCCTAACAGCTGGTAAACTGGCTGGGATTTCTGGGAGTTTTAAGTCAAAACACCTGGGGACCCACACGTTGAGAGCCACTGCTCTAGCTCAAGTATAGTCAAAATATAGAGTTGCTATTATACATAATTTCAGGTATCCGAGGTATGTGTGTTTTGGAACATATCCTCCAGCGACATAGAAGTCATACTGTTCTCATGTCCTTATAGGTTAACACCCAAACTTTGGTCTAATAACAGACTGATAACCAATATAGTACTTATATATTATATATTATATGACAATAGATACAAACATTTCACAATAATACAGTGATAGTATTTTGCATTAGCTGCAGCCTCTAAAGAAATGGAAACGTAAGGTTTCTAATACATGGATCACGATGACATTTGAAAGCATATATGGTTGCCATTAATAGTAATATGTGCACAGGAACTTGGGTATGTGTGCTACATTTCTTATATGTTTATTGCATATATTTACCTGAAATGGAGATTGGCTGTTATAGTTCTTTAATTCCTTATTGGCTCCTCGTAACAACAAAACTCTTGCACAGCTGTCCTATAAATAAAATAAAGAATTTGTAACAACCCTGCATAACACTTGGTGCATGTTCGGGGCAAAATGAATTACAAACTACAGTATGTTATCTGGCTATGTGTGGCAATGTCTTGTTTCTTTGTTCTACAATCAATAACCCTCACTGCAGTCCAAACAAAAACCACCATCCTCTGGTTTTCTTATCATGAGAACAGGGTGTACTATGCTTATTCTTTACACACTGAAAGATTGCAATAAACCAGTCAGAGACAGGACTGATTTTTTGGTATACATCTTGATTATAAGCTTTATTTGCCATTCTTTGCTGTTTTATCTCAAATGGGATATGATATACCTGCAAATTCTCAACCTTCCTTTTAACATGTACCTTTGCATGTTTTGGCACAGCGTATTACAAATACTTATTCTTTCTAAAAATAAGAAGTATTCTAGTCATACAAATAGTCAGAAATGTTATCTACTTTGACAGGGTTTTTAAAATTAAGACAGTAATTAATTAAGAAGCAGATGCTTTAACAGATGTTACACTGGTGATAGCAGACTCATTACTTGTGTATTTCTAGTGCATCTTTAGAAGTAAAATGCAATTGCACTGATGTGCTCTAAAACAATCAAATGCTTAAGCAAACAATATACTTGTATCAAATTTATTGGTTTCAACAAATCCTACAGAGGGTCTGATGTGTCATTAGGTATTACATCAAATCAATCAGATTAATAGAAGAAATATCTCTATTTTAAAACTATGCTTAATTTATATGAGACAGAGAACATTTCCCCCTCCCAATGCTACTGACATGCAACTTCAATCATCAATCACCATCAGCTAGGTTAGCTAGGACTGATGGAAGCAGTGCTCACAAAACATTTGGAGAGCCACACAACTCTTGAACTTGATTTTTTCAAGTTTATTTATTATTTATTTCGAACATTTGTATCCCGCCCTATCTTGACCTCCGCAGAGGGACTCAAGGTGGCTAACAGTTGTGTTTGCTATAGGCAGGGCATGCCCGGGGGGGTGGGGGGGCTGGTTCCCATAGGAAAAGGTTGACACACATTTTTTTAATCTCCGAAGCCCCCATTAGCCCTGCTAAACACCACATTTTCCCTACACATGATTTTCATCCCCCAAAAGGAAAAAAAATAGGTTAAACTCCCACAAAACAGTTTAGCTTCCACAACTCCCCAAGATCTCCAAGAATCTTTAAAACAAAAAATCTTTAAAAATCAGTTTAAATTGGCTTAAAATAAAACCAGAAATGTAACATCAGTTCCCTGCAGTTGGGGGTGAAAATGGTTACTGCCCTCCACAGTTGACAATGTGTGCCTTCAAGTCATTTTCAACTCATGACAACTCTTAGGCAAACCTCTCACAGAGGATTTGTGGCAAATCACACTTGCTCAGCCTCAGAGGGAGGCACAGGCAAATCCTCACAGTTGCCTACTGTGGTCATAAAAAAGAAATCACCAAGCTGTTTGCTGTGTCTCCCTTCCAAACCCTTGAAACTGATAACTGAAAAAAGACCAATCATTCCCATTTCCTCTCATCCTTCATGATTCTTATTCCTTCATGATTCTTCATTGTTCTTCAGCGCAAACAGTTTACAACCCAATTAAACTATTTGATCTCTGACCTTTTTCATCAGCTTGTTCTGACCTCATATACATTGTCACATCTCATCTTGTACTTTTATACCCAAACATGGTCTTGTGGTATTCTGAGTTTACTGTGTGTATGTGCCTGCAAATTACCTATCGACTTATGGCAATCTCATGTTTTAGGCAAGGAATACTCTGGTGGGTTTGCCAGTTCTCTGCTTTGAAATACAGCTTACACACCTAGTATTTGTTGGCACTCTCTCAACCATATACTAACCAGAGCACTGCTTAGCTTCCAAGATCAGACATGAATTAGTGGCTTTAGTCCTTATTCTAGGTATTATCTAAGAACAATTTCTACTGAAATGAAGAGCTCCTGTTTTCAAACAGATGTTCTAAGGCCAGAGTTTTAGACATGGTTCCCACAGTGAACGCATGAATCTTTGCACTACCATAATGGCATTTGAATCCAAGATTCCACATTGTGTTATTTACACACAGCTGTGCCTTTGCAAAAATTCAGCCCAAGTTCTCCAAAAAGTCAACATCTGCAGAGTATTAGGCATGTTAATGGTCTAAATATGACCATACACATAGGTAACATTATTTAGTCAATCTTAGGGAAAAGTCCACTACCATGAGAACTTTTGTATTACACACAAAGGGATTTCTGGGGAATACTTTTTGTTGATTCTACAAGGAAACTATAGTAACTAACCTGATTGTAAAGTGCACAAATATGCAGTGCTGTATTTCCAGAAGCATTTTGCGCTCCCATATCAGCTCCATAAAACAGAAAATGTTCTAAATGCTGGACATGCCCATATCGACAAGCCTATAAAGATAAAAAAGTAATAATTTAATTAGAAAAATTACACTTTGTAACATAATTAAATCCACTTCTAATTATTGTGTAATATGAATGTAAGCTTGAATTTCCATACTAAAATGATATTTTTCCTCATTTTAAATGGTACACTGCACTTCTGATTGTTCACATTTCAGAAATCTGGAATGCATTGTTAGATTACTGCTTCAAAAAGTATTCAATAGCTATATCACAGCCTTGTTTAAATACCTTAGTCAATAAAGAATAATGTATCCACCAAAAATTCACAAAACCCAGAATAGTTTCCTGTTTCCTTTTACCAGGAAGTCATATGGTAGCAATGTGGTGGCAATGTTGGAGCAATGGGTCAAACCCTTGTGCTGGCTGAACTGCTGACCTGAAGACCTGAAAGTCGGCAGTTTGAATCTGCAAGATGGGTGAGCTCCCGTCTGTCAGCCCCAGTTTTATTCTCAATTCGTTTATGACATAATAAAAATGTGGTAGCATATTCTTTTTCTAATAACAAATGCCACCAAATAGCTGGCTTCATTAACTTTTTAAAATTTAGCAGGAAAGATGACAGAAAATGTAAATGGATGCCTGTCATATTAATAGACTGAAACAAAATGTCAGCTTGATCCTAAAATTGATCATTCTAAAATAGTACCCAATAAAACAGAAAACCATATTATAGGAATCTGGCCAAGCTCTCACTGCTTTCCAAACCCTAAGCATTGTGTCAAATGTTGCATCTTTATCATAAAAAAAGAGCATGTTGCATCTGAAACAGTGAGGTTGCACCTGAGATATTTCCATACAATTCTGAGGAAATGTCATAAGAATGAGACTTTGCTGTCTCTACTGTAACAGAAACAGGCAGACTAAAACATCAAAATATTTTTGTCTTTAAGGCACTGCAAAGTCTCTGTTGTTACTGCTGCAAAAACAACACTAACAAAGATGACCTTCCCTTTAAAACTATTGCCATAGCAATTCATTTAAGGAAACCTGCTTGGCAACTGCAATAAAACATGCAGAACCAAAGAGAGAGAGAGAGAGAGAGAAAGATTGAATGACCACTGTATCTGTGGGGGATACATTCCTGGACTTCATGTATCCACAGATAATATTGAACTCTATTAAAATGAAATACTTCTGGCCCAGGATACCATAAGGCCATTCTGGAGGACTGAGAAAATGCCTAGACAGGACATGTTTGGTCTTATGAAGATAAATAAAACCTTGGATAACAATCCTGTGGATACAGGGATTGTACTATATTAAAACAACAAGATGAAATCCTCAAATACACCACTATCCAATTGTGAGATATCCATATATCTAGATATTTTTCACTTTTTTCTGTTGCTGAATAATACCACCAAAGATTGAAACTGGTTTAAAGTTGATTTAGAACAGAGGGTCCTAATACTCCTTTGGATATAAGCAAAGGCAACTATGTAGTAAATAGGCCATCAGGTTAAACTGGGTGACTACACTATAGAATTAATGCAGTCTGGCACCATTTTAACTTTCATTGCTCATTGCCATGGAATCATGGCAATTGTAGTTTTACAAGTTCTTCAGACTTCACTGGCAAAAAGTGCTGATGCCTCACCCATGATAACATAGCATTGAGACACGGCAATTAAAGTGATGTCACGCTGTATAAATTCTACAGTGCAGATGCACCCCAGATGAACTAAAAGGCAGAACATTAAACAGCTCCTATAACAGTAACAAGTATGGGTAATTTGTATGCCTTTTTGTCTCAGGGACTTATAGTATACATTGACTTGTTTTTCTAATTTTTCTCAACCAAAACATTTAATTTCCAAGCATATTTAATGAATGACTATTAGAATTTTAAGAAACATTGAAAACAGACCTAGATAAAACCACACTTTTTAATAATTATTATTTCTGGAATCAGAATAAACAATTAAACATATATGCAGGCCCTTTAAATAAAATGTATCAATGCATGTACAAAAATATAGACGTTGCAAGTTCTGCTGGTGTACCGTGTGCCCAGCGCACCAGTGGACAGCCTATCCCAGCTGCTTGAGACTGTGTCGGAGTGGTCCCTGAGGTTCCCCAGTCTTATCGTCTTGGGGGATTTCAACGTCCACGCTGATGCAGACTCTTGTTCATCAGTAGCTATGGACCTAGTGTCTACCATGGAGACACTAGGACTCTCCCTCTGTACTACTGGGCCCACGCATCGGGCGGGGCACACGTTAGATTTGATTTTCAGCGCAGGAATTCAAGTGACCCAAGCCTCCACAATAGAGGTTCCATGGTCGGATCACTGCGCCCTGAGAGTCTGGTTGGAGCATGCCTACCCACGCTGCAAGGGCGCCGAGCCAATTTGGGCTCGCCCAAGGAGACTTATGGAACCCAGTAGGTTCCGGAATGCTCTGAGGGATCTGGAGCCTGCCAGCGACTCGATCGATGTGCAGGTGGACACATGGAACATCAGGCTATCCAATGCACTCGACGAGATCGCCCCTAGATGCCCTCTCAGACCCCACCGAAATCGGTCTCCTTAGTTCACCGAGGAACTTCGACTGATGAAGCGGGAAAAGAGACAGCTGGAGGGCGTGTGGCGAGAACTCCGTAACTGAGCATTGAGATCAGCTTATGAGGCATTCAGGGAATCCTATGAGCATGCTATCACTGAGGCAAAGCGAGTAT